CTCGAAGTCGAAACCAGGTTCACTGAGCTTTAGATGCCCACTGCACAAAGAAATGAGCACATTTCTATCGGAGACAGGCATTGCTTACCATGGCAGTGGTGATCACGAATCAAGGTAAAGACCACAAACAAAGCACGATCAGCAACAATATCTCGATGACGACCGCAATGTGTAATTCGGTCAGCAACAACAACACGCTGACGGCAACTGTAACTACAAATAAAAATGGTCACTACTACTACACAAAATGATCAACACCGGAGCTTGGAACCATAATTATATTGTCAGCTCTCCCCGCAGTGCCACTACCTAGTGGTGAGCATATCCTTCCGGTCCGGTACATTAGAATCAACACGGGCTCAAATCGAGGGATGAACATGTTGGTAGGTATGTACTTCGTCTCCATCCTGTAGCTCACCTACTTCATCTTTCTCACCTCTACTTCATTCCTTCCACCGCTCCCTTCTTCCTGCTTACTCCCTCTGCCTTACCCCGCAACTATTCTCAACACATGAACGCACCTTGTCGTTCGCATGGCCAGGTTCATTGGAAATAAGATAACCAAGACGCACAGAAGAAAACCGCGTACACAACGAAGAGTAGCATGTGGAAAGAAACACACCGTCGCGACCTTGACTATGTGGTAGCTCCCCTGATGACAACCCTCTCTAAGATCAGGACTATGTTACTCACCAAATGTGCAATCAATATGAATCTTCCAATAGAAAAGAGACAAGTGCATTTCCACCTGGATGGAGAGGACTATCGGGGTCGCAAGGCTGGCCACCTGGAGCAGAGTCAGATTGGGGTGGCCACACAACACGGCGGGCAGGGCGGTTGCAACCGCGAAAGGGAACACTACGAACTTCAAAGGGCACAGCGTGAGGACCATGAAAACGACGAAGAAGAACACATGGATGAAGGCTGTCCTGAAGATCACTACAAAAATGGTAATCAGCACGAACGGCGTGAAGACAAACCTCACCTCATTAACAAATGAGCGCCCGCTGCCTTTGTCTTGTTCTACTCCCTTCGCTTCTACCATATTCACTCCTCAATGAACCTGGCCGAAAGATCGACCACGTGCATTATGCATTGGGCACAACACGAAGTGTCGATCGTCGAAATCAAGGCGGCAGGCACTAGCAGCAGCGAGATCCAGGGGCAGCACGATGATCACATGGGTAAATGGTGTTACCACCACAATAAAAACGAGCCCGACGATGTGGAGCAGAACCCCGGGTTCGATCATGACGAGCAACATCACATCCTTGCTAACGACCGCAATGACGAACGTGGAGACAAGCAGCATAATGGCTAGGAAACACATTCACATTGTCTGCGAGGCAAGCAACACGCTTTCGACGACAACAAAAAATCAGTAGCGACCATACGACCCCAAAGATGACGATGAGCACCGCGGAATCACGATGAAGGGAAGGTCACCTTAACAAATGGAGGCCGCAACAATCGTAACGAAAGCAATGACGATCGCAACGGTGAAGACCACCACGATAAACAGCACCAACTAATCTTAATGAAACATCGGAGGAAACAAGCCACTAAACGTTCGCTTAGTCTTTTGCCCTTACCCTCAGAGCATTCACAACAAAAAAAGGTAGGTAAATTCCTTCCCATTTTATGTGTGTCATCCCTATGTCGGGGCCATGCTAATCTTCTTTGTATCATTCTAATTGTAATGGATGTCCCAAAGGACTATGGGCGTCGTTAGACACTCCTTACGACTTCCTCGAGCTACAACAAAGTTTCCCTCATTCCATATATCCTCGGGGCCAACCCTCAAGGACGTTTTCTTGTGGCCTGCCTGCAATAATTTCCATACAATTATGCGCGGCAGCGGCGGGCAGTGTCCATGGTACAGCGTCTTGTTTCTATGTGAAGTGGCGTGGTTCAGCGGAGTCGGGAAATGGCAGGGTAAGACAACGAAAAAAAAAAAAACAGAAAAAAAAAGGGACCTCCACATTTGAAATTCAAAATTTGAAGTGCGGTTGTGGTGACAAGCATGAGCATCGGCAGGCGACACGAAGACGGGACACGGGCGAATAAGGCTTTGCGATGGCATCCCTTCCTAAGACACGCAGCATTGTGTGCACCTGTGCACACTGGTAACGTCCATCACCATCGATGCATGCCACTTTGCGGGCGTCATTCAACACAATGTTTTGAGGAGAGCGACGTCGACCGAAAGGAGGCAGCTTTGCGGAAGTGTCGTGGGCACGACCATCTTCACGGCAGTGGAGACATGTCATTCTTGTGAAACTGTTGGGGATGGAGGGTGGCGAAAAGGTCGGGCATGCGTTGTTGACACCGCTAGAGAGGACGGATGTGACTGCACCCGTGTCTGATGTTGTCCTTCGTTGTCAGCTGGAGAGGGCGTTGAGACGAATAAAGGCGCATTTGTGCGCACGTAGGAGAAGGACGCTGGTGCAGGCTGCACTTGACAGCCCCGAATACGTGGTCACTTTGGCGGCCGTCATTCAGTTGTGCTACGTGTGGGGTTGAGAGGCGTTATTCCACAAGCGACGCCGAGGTGATGGATCAAGTGCAGGACGGGGGGATGTTGGAAGACCTTCGACAATGCGACGACGCCACAAATGACTCCTTCCGCGAGAAGCAGCACAACAACCAGGAGCAACGTGGGGAGTCTGGGGGACCACCTGAAGAAGCACGACGACGAGGAGCACCAGAGGGAGCCTGGGGTACAGTTCGGCCATGAACGACACGGCGGAGAGGGCAGCAATGCCACGTCTGGAGAGCAGCAGAGGGAGCAACATGGGGACCACCAAAAGTAGCACAGTGACGAGGAGCAATAGAGGGAGCCTGGGGTACAGGTCAACCACAACCGCTCTGGACGTTCCTCGAGCAGGGGAAACCCCACAACGCCGGCCGAAGAGGACGACGCCACAAACGGAAACTGTTGACAGGTGCTGGGGGACTACACAGACGTTGGAGGGTGAGGATGTCTGTGCTAACACCGTCGGACCACATCTGGACCACCCAAGAACCACAACTCTCTGTCGACGCATGTCGTCACCACTCCGTGAATAGCGGTTCCTTGAGCTCCAAGGGACCTCATGAGGTCCCTTGGGGATAAGGAAATTTTGGCTACGGCCACAAAGTTTTCACATTTGTTTTTCAATTTCATCCTCAAGGACAGGCGGAATGAGCGAGTCCTTGTGTATTTCACGTCCCTGGGGAGTGTCTTACGACGCCCTATGCAGTGGGCAAATGTCCTGAGGTATCATCTATGGACTTACCGATACCAGGTAATCCAAAATTGCAATATTTTACGCATCTACTTCAAATGGAGTTAAACTCAGCTTTGTATTTCAATAGTTCGTAGGTATACCACCTGAGCTAGGCCGTCGGTTCCATCACCAGTCCCGGTACCAACACCAATACCGGTCCCAAAGCTGGAACTCCAAACAAATAAGAATAATATAATAAAAGAGAGAAAGAAAACGTAGAACTACATCGAGGGGGAGGGGACTGCCGACACCCCTTTGTCCTACCAGTCGGCCCCGGCACGGGGGTGCGGGGAGGGATGGAGGTGCGGGGGCGGGTTCAGGGGTGGGCCGGGCGCGGGGGCG